GTAAGCCCAGAAAGAAAATTACAAGTAGAGTTATTTCTTACTGTTTGAATTTTCACTAACCAAACTCAGGAATTAAGTATATCTAGGTAAATGTATTAATCCTTCCCCTTTGGAATTCTTGCTTGATACATATATTAGTTTCCTAGGGCTGCCGTAACCACAAATTGGTTTGCTTAAAACATCAGAAATATATTCTGTTGCAATTCTGGAGCCTAGGACTCTGAAATGGAGGTGTCAGGAGGGCCACGCTCCTATTGAAGGCTCTAGGAAAGGATCCTTCCTCAGCTCTTCCTAGTTTCTGGTGGTTTCCAGCAATCCTTGGAGTTTCTTGGCTTGTAGACACATCACTCTAATTTCTGCTGCTGTCAATACATAGCATCCTTTTGTGTCTATGTCTCTAAATCTTTCCCTCCTTATAAGTACATCAGTCATTGGATTTAGGGCCCCCCCAGTCCAAGTTAATCCTCAACTTGATTACGTTTGCCAAGACCCTTCTTCTAAAGTCACATTCAGAGGAACCAGGAGTTAGGACTTCACCATGTCTTTCGGGGACATATTCAGTCCACAACAGTACTTGAAACTCAAGAACCTCGTAGATTATAATAACACAACATCCTTTGCTTTCTGAACTTGGTATCTAAATGCTTTAGGATCCAAACTGAGAAACGAAACGGATTCAGGTAATGAGAGTTATTTGTCAATGATAAGCCTTTGAGAGACTGGTCACCTTCATTAGTAATCAAATAAATGAAAAAAACAGTAACAAACAAGACACTATTTTTTGCTGTGAAATGGTAAAAATAAACAGTGAAAATACTGTGTTGCTATAAGTGATGGGAATGCAAATATGTGGGGGCAGCATATTTGGAAGGCAATTTGACAGTCGGTGTGTTTCTAACTATTCATCTTAAGAAGGTAATTCAAGGATGTCTATTATTAGTTGTCTGTTATAGTAGATAACTTAAAAGTATCCAAATGTTGGGGTGCCTGGGTGGCTCAGTCGATAAGCATCAGCCTTCGGCTCAGGTCATGATCCCAGGGTCCTGGGATCGAGCCCCGCATCAGGCTCCCTGCTCGGCAGGAAGCCTGCTTCTCCCTCTCCCACTCCCCCTGCTTGTGTTCCCTCTCTTGCTGTGTCTCTCTCTGTCAAATAAATAAATAAAGTCTTTAAAAAAAAAAAGTACCCAAATGTTGAACAAAATGGGATTAATTATATGATGGTAGAGCCAAAGAACACTTAATGGGTGGAAAGAAGTGTATGATACAGAATGTCGTATTTTTATTAAGCAAAATCCTATCTAGATATCTAAATACTGAATACATTTCTTCCTTTTTTTTTTAAGATTTTATTTATTTTTTTGTCAGAGAGAGCACAAGCAGGGGGAGTGGCAGGCAGAGCAGGCAGAGGGAGAAGCAGGCTCTCTGCCAAGCAAGGAGCCCGATGTGGGACTCGATCCCAGGACCCTGGGATCATGACCTGAGCTGAAGGCAGATGCTTAACCGACTGAGCCATCCAGGCATCCCGATACTGAATACATGTCTACTTAAGTAGATTTATTTATGGAAAAAGATCTGACAAAATAGATGCCAACCATGATAATAACAGTAGTGCTTATCCTGGCTCGTGGAATTATATGTGAGTTAAAATGGCTTAGCTACCTATTTTCAGACCTTTCTGCAATGAACATGCTTGTAATTGGAATGAAAAATACATAGTTCCTAGAGATTGATAAAAGTTCTAAATTCCATAGTACCATCAGAATAAAAGATCATATTTATAAACTGCTAATTATATGATATGTTATAGTAAGTACAGTATATGAGCCAAGGAAGAGGCTGTCTCTGTGATCCTAATCAAAAGAAGGTTCTATAAGGCAGGGTGCACTTTAGGGAGGCCTTGAAGCATGTGTAGAAGTGAATAGAGCTAGGTTTGTCTAAACATGAAAAAACAACATGGCAAAGAAGAAATAAACTCTTCTCTTTAGAACATTATGTCTTGTTCAAATTCTCTTTTTCAGTTGCTTCTGTAAAATTAGTCTTTTTTTTTTTTTTTAGTAACATAATGTATTATTTCTTTCAGGGGTAAAGGTAAAATTAGTCTTTATGTGTTAAATATTTGTACTAATATATATGTGTGTATATATAACTGCTTGACTTTATTTTTAATAGGCTGATGTTCAAGTGCAGTTGATCAGCAAAGGCCAACCAAACCCTTTAAAAAATATTCTAAATGAAAATGATGTAGTATTCATCATGGAGAAACTGGTAAGTAGTGCTTGGGCTTTGCACTTGTTTCTTTTTTTTTTTTTTTTTAAGATTTTAAGTAATCTCTATCTTCAATGTGGGGCTCGAACCCCGAGATCAAGGGTCGCACCCTCCACCAGCTGAGCCAGCCAGGCACCCCTGTATTTGTTTAATTCCTAATAGCCAAATTCAGTTTATTGGGAATGATCTCAAATGTGCACATTTTTTTAAATCAGCAAATTAGTGAAAGTGGATTCTAATTCTTTTAGAAGTAAATACAGTGGTGTCCAATAGAAATATAATGAGAACTGTATAGGTAATTTAAAATTTTGTAGTAGCCTGATTTAAAAAATGAAATTAATTATCATACAGTAAAATTGACTTTTTTCTTTTGTTGTCCACTTCTTTGAATTTTATCACATGTATAGATTCTGGTAATCAGGGCACAGAACAGTTCCATCACCCCAAACAACTCCCTCATGCTATCCCTTTAAAATCCCCCTGGCAACCACTGATCTCTTCTCCCTTGGTGTAGTTTTATCTTTTTAAGAATGTCGTGAGTGGAATCATAGAGTGTATAACCTTTTGAGTCTGGCTTCTTTCACTCTGTACAATGCCTTTGAGATTAATCCAAGTTGTATGTGTATCAGTGGTTCATTTCTTGTAATTGCTCAGTAGATTCTGTGGTATGAATGTACCACTGTTTATCTAGTCACTCTTTGAATGACATTTGGGCTATTTTCTGTCTCCAGTGATCATGAATAGAGCTGCTGTTAATCATTTTTGTACAGATTTTTGCGTGAGCGTGTTTTTTCTTTACGGTAAATACCAAGGAGTGGGATTGTCTGAAATTAGGTTTAATAATGCTTTTTATTTAGTCTCATATATCTGGTAATACCATTTCACTGCATAGTTAATATAAAAATCATTAATGAGATATTTTAAGGTTTTTTTCCCCCCATACTGCATCTTTAAAATCTGGTGTGTATTTACACTTACATCTTCATTTGGTCTGGCCCCATTTCCAGTACTCAGTAGCTGCGTGTGGCCAGGGCCTGTTGTATTGAACAGCACAGCATAAGTAGCTATGACTCATGAAGTTCTACTTTTTAATTTTTGTTTGTGAAATGTAAGAGAAAACTTCTTATCTTTTGCATCATTTTATAATTCCAGTCTGAAACCTTTGTGTTTTATTTTTATTTATTTTTTTAAAGATTTTATTTATTTATTTGAGAGAGAGAGAATGAGAGATAGAGAGCACGAGAGGGAAGAGGGTCAGAGGGAGAAGCAGACTCCCTGCTGAGCAGGGAGCCCGACGTGGGACTCGATCCCGGGACTCCAGGATCATGACCTGAGCCGAAGGCAGTCGCTTAACCAACTGAGCCACCCAGGCACCCAACCTTTGTGTTTTAATTATGGTGTTTTGGCAGAGCAATTATAGTGATTTTTATTGAGTGGTGATAATGCTGTCAGGTTATACAGTTGCTTTGGGGCCAGAACACATTCCTTTGACTACCTTTTTCCTGAAGTGGATTGGAACAGACTCTCATAGGGGAAAGTGGAGGTATTTTACAAGGAACTCTTCTGTTTGCTTTAGGACCCTCATGCTGTCTGGTGAAAGAACAGGGAGCTTTTCATTTGAATGTATACAATAGCTCCTTTTGAGGAAGGGGGGCAACTTTGTTTTTTATGTTAATGAAAGGGTTTTTTTTTTTTAAGATTTTTTTATTTATTTGAGAGAGAGAGAGAGAGAGATCACAAGTGGTTCGGAAGGGTAGAAGGAGAAGCAGACTCTCCTCTGAGCAGGGAGCCCGATGCAGGACTCCATCCCAGGAGCCTGGGATCATGACCCGAGCCAACAGCAGATGCTTAACCGACTGAGCCACCCAGGTGCCCCTAATGAAAGAGTGTTATTACTACTTATCTATAGTGGACAGATGCTTGGGAAATAATTATAGGTGAGTTATGTGGTTGAATTTAGACTTTTGTTATGGGAAAAAGGGGAAATGTATGCAGAGCAAAAGCCGAAAAAATTAAGATGTTCAGATGAGCCACCTAGGAAGAGATAAGAATGAGCCAAGGGGGATCTGAGAATGTGGTTGGGATCCCAGGAAGGACACAGCCTGCCCTTGTGGGGAGGTCCCTGGAATTCACTGGGACGCTGGCATTTTTGGACGAGGAGGAGTCAAAATGGCCATTGTCTCTGCAAAGATCAGTAGAGCTTACAGCATGAATTTTAGGTAGATGGGTATGAAACAGAAGAAAAAAATGACATTTTGGGTACCACCCGTTCTAGGAACTCTTTGGAAAGCCAGGCCTAGAAGGGACTGTGATCTGGCGAAAGAAATTCAAAGTTGGGGAAATATCTGGGTCTGATACCTATTAAGCGGGCAGAGTATTTACTGCCTGAAGAGCTTAATTAATGGATAAGATCCTGAGTTTTGAAGTCAGACTGTCTAGATTTCAAATGTTGTGGTTGCCATTCACCGGCTGTAATTCGAGGCAAGTTATTTAGCCATTTGCTACCTCAGTTTTCCCATCTATAAAACAGAGTTAATGGGGCACCTGGGTGGCTCAGTTGGTTAAGCATTCCACTCTTGGTTTTGGCTTGGGTCATGATCTTGGGGTCGTGAGATCGAGCCCTCTCCTTCTGCCCCCCTCCCCAAAATAAATAAAAAAATAAAAAAATAAAAAAATAAAATCTTTTTAAAAAAAGTTATAATAGTATCTATTTCAGGGTTTTTATGAAAAGTAACAGAAGACTTAGAACAATAGCTGTACATAGTAATGCTCAGGAAATGTTAACTCTTGGGGTCATTGTTATTATTGGCAAGGCTGAACTATGACTACTTAAACATGGAGATATTAGAAACACATAGATTTCAGAACCCTGTAACACGAATGAGAGCTGCTAGTCCTAAGAGTAGATTTAAGGAGTAAGGGCTGTGGCCCTTTGAGTTCTGGGAGTGAAAAATCAGGAGTCGCCCATGGGTTTCTTTTGGTGTTTTGTCTTTGGTTCATCATTTTATACATGTTGGAACACTTCCTTTTCTAATGGCATCAGATGCTTCCTCTATCAGTAGCAACTTAGATCATTATCTTTTTATAGGACAGCGGAAATGCTTCTGATGGCAAGATTTGTTGGTACCAGACTGGTTTGTAGCTGTGATTCTTGCCATCACCCAGTCATTTGTGCTTAAGGGTTTGGAAACCAGTACCTTATGTTCTAGCATAGTGAAGAATTGACTGGTGAGTGTTCTTTTACCTGACTAAATAATTTAAAAATATTTTTTAAGCCTTTGGACAAGGAAGAAACAAGTCATGTTGAAGAACCACAATGTGAAGAAACGGTTATTTCTGATTTCTCTACTGGGGAGAATGTCGGACCACTTGCTTTACCAGTTGGGAGAGCAAGGTAAGTTTTTCTTAGCATCAGGCTAGGAGGAGGGCTGGAGGCTAGGATTTAAATGACGGTGTTCTTACCAACATTGGGGGAAAAATGTGTATCTAGTCCAAGGCCTTTCCTCCCTTCTTCCCCCTCTCCCTAGACATGATACCCGATCTCCAGGGATAGCTTTACTTGAATATCCTATAGGTGTCCCAAGCATGACCAAGAAGACCATGTCATGGTCCCTTTCTCTACTCCCCTGTACTGTTTGTTCTTGCTTCTCAATTGTTTTCGTTGTATTTGGTTCCCCTCCAGTCTTTCTTCCTTGCTGCCGCCAGAGATCTTCATAAATCACTGAAAGCCTGATTGTGTTGCTTCCTTGCTTAAAAAAGATCCTTCGCTGGTTCTTGTTGCTTCATGATACAATCCAAATTTCTTTTGAATGACACATAAGAACCTTCACTGTCCAGTCCAGAGCTCCTCCACCAGGGGAGCCATTCCCAGTGGGCATTTGGAAATACGCGGGGATACTTTTTGGTTGTTACAGTGACTGAGGGGAGTGATTGGCTGGGGCTGTGGCTAGTGAACGTCCTGCAGTGCACTGGGCTCTCCTGCACGAGGAGGAATTATCCCACCCCGATGCCAGCAGTACCCCTGGTAGAAAGCCTGCCGCCCCCATCTGCCTGGCCAGCTTCACCTCCTGCCTCCCCACTGTGTAGCTGTGGGCAGCTCTCCCCAGCTGGCCCCCCTCGCCTCCACAACCAAAGTTATTGCCGTCAAGGAGTTCTGGAGGATATAGTCATATAAATAATAACATTGGACCATAAGGACTCTAATAATATTCACAAAGTGACTCTCCTTCATGGTGGTTTTTGTTTGTTTTGCTAGGTAGAAGCTTGTAACATTTTTCTGTAGTTAAATTTATCAGTCTTTATGGCTTCTTGATTTTAAGTCATGTTTGGCCTTTTTTCTTTTCTCCCCAACTTAAACATAATTTATTGGTGGTGTTTTCTCCATCCAGTGTTTGTTTGGATTTATCCATACGCTTATCATTGCCTTGCTTTGCATTTGGAACCTTCCTTTTGGGATTGTTGTATTTCCTTTCTGAAGTACAATCCCTTATAACTTCCTTTGTTGAACATCTGTTGGTAATAAATTAAGTTTTCATCTCTGAAAAATTTCAAGATACATTTTTGGGCAACTTTTAATTTTGATACACTTTCAAATTTACAGAAAAGTTGAAGGAATAGCACAAGAACTTCTGTGTGCCCTTGACCCAGATTCACCAGTTATTGACATGTTACTGCATCTGCGTTGTGACTGTCTCTCATTCCTCCCCCTGCTCGTCGTCCCCCCACTCTGCCACCTATGCAACATGCTCCTTCACCCACGCACATTTTTTTAAATGAAATATTGAGAGAATGTTGGAGAAACTGTGCTCCTTTACCTCTAAATACTTCACTGTGTATTTTCTTTTTTTTTTTTTAAAGATTTTATTTTTTTGACAGAGAGACACAGCGAGAGAGGGAACACAAGCAGGGGGAGTGGGAGAGGGAGAAGCAGGCTCCCCACTGAGCAGGGAGCCCGATGCGGGGCTCCATCCCAGGACCCTGGGATCATGACCTGAGCCGAAGGCAGACGCTTAACGACTGAGCCACCCAGACGCCCCTACTGTGTATTTTCTGAGAACAAGTATATTCTCTTATGTAAACACAGAACGATGACCAAAATCTGGAAGTTTAAAAGTTACAGTACTATTACCTCATTCACAGAGTATGCAGTTTTCTTTTTTTTTTTAAAGATTTTATTTATTTATTTGACAGAGAGAGACACAGCAAGAGAGGGAACACAAGCAGGGAGAGTGGGAGAGGGAGAAGCAGGCTTCCCACCGAGCAGGGAGCCCGATGCGGGGCTTCATCCCATGTCCCTGGGATCATGACCTGAGCTGAAGGCAGACGCTTAATGACTGAGCCACCCAGGTGCCCCGAGTATGCAGTTTTCTTAAGTATTCCAATGACTAATGACCTCAAGCATCTTTCATGTGCTTATTGGCTCTTTTTTTTTTTGCCCCAGCTTTATTGAGGTATAATTAACGTATCCTACCTATTTCTTTTACTTCATCTCGCAGCCTACGTGTCCTCCTACTGAACCTCTACCCTCACCCTATTAGACTCCCCACTTGTAGATAGCTCCATTCTCATTACTTGCAGGTGCGTGTATCTTCATCTGCCTGGTGTGCCCTTCTCCCATTTCTTCACTGGGTGAAATATTTATGTATTTTGCCACTTAATTTCCAGACTTTTGTTTCTGGGATACTGGGTATTGGAGTTTATAATTAGAAATGTATTTGGTCTTTGTCCACTGTTCCTGGCACAGAGTTCCTAAAGCCCTTAGAATTTCCTAAGTGAGGAGAAAGAGGAAGGTGTTTTTTGTTATGTTAGTGAGGTGGCTTTTGGGGGCACCTGGGTGGCTCAGGCCGTTGAGTGGCTGGCTCTTATTTTCCCCTCAGGTCATGATCTCAGGGTCCTGGGATCCCGCCCTGCATCAGGCTCTGTGGTCAGTGGGGAGTCTGCTTGAAGATTGATTCTTTCTGTCCCTCTCTATCTGCCCCTCCCCCTGCTCACATGCACACATGCGCTCTTTCTCTCACATAAATCTTTTAAAAAAAAATTAGGTGGTTTTTGGAAAGCCCCTAGGTAACTTGTGGCTTGGGGCCGGGGGTTGTCAGGGTACCAACCCTGTGATTAGAGGGTTAGACCTACCTCCAGAGAGGGGAGGAGGACTGGAGGTTGAGTTCAGTCCCCAATGGCCAGTGATTAATCATTTCATGCCTATGTGACTAAGGCTTCATAAAAACCCAGAAGGAGAGTGTTTGGAGAACCTCTGGGTTGGTGAACAGGTGGAGATTTGGGGAGAGTGGCTCACTAAGAGAGGGCATGGGCGCTCTACACTCTTTCCCCATACCTTGCTCTCTGCATCTCTTCCATCTGGCTGTTCCTGAGTTATAACCTTTTATGATAAACCAGTGATCTAGTAAGTAAAGTGCTTTTCTGAGTTCTGTGAGTCGCTCTAGCAAATCAGTCGAACCCAAGGGGGAGGTTGTTGGAACCTCTGATCTATATCTGGTCAGTCAGAAGCACAGGTGACAACCTGGAATTGCCTTTGGCATCTAAAGGTGGGTGGCGATGGGGTGGGGTGCGTCTTGTAGGACTGAGCCCTTAACCTGTGGCATCTGATGGTGTCTCTGGGTAGATAGAGTCAGAATTGGGTTGAATTGTAGGACACCCAGCTGGTGTCAGAAAATTACTTGGTATGAGGAAAAACCCCACACATTAGAGTTGGGTGCAGAATCTTAGTTGGTGACCAGAAGTAAGATCAGTGTCAGAATCATAGATGCCCTTCATGATATCTTTGGAAAAGAAAACTTAGTTGATGGACAGTTTCTACTTACAGTTTATTCTTCCTATTCTTGTTTTCAAGGCAGTTAATTGGACTTTACACCATGGCTCACAATCCTAATATGACCCACTTGAAGATTAATCATCCAGTTACTGCCCTTCCTCCCCTGTGGGTAAGGTGTGACAGTTCAGATCCTGAAGGGACCTGTTGGCTGGGAGCTGAGCTTGTCACCACAAATAACAGCATTACAGGAATTGTCTTATATACAGTCAGTTGTAAAGGTGAGAGCTTACTTTTATGGAGGGGGTGTGCATTTATTTATTTGTACTGTTACTGTGTTGTGGTTTTTACTGAAAACATATTGTGAAGAGGGAAGTGCACACAGTGGAACTTGTTAGCCACCAGGAACCTACTCTGGTGTGTAACTTGCAGCATATAGGAGGTATTCCAGAAACAGATCTCCAGAAATCTGAACAGGAGTTTATGGCTTTGTTTGTTAGTTTTATTTGGGTTTCATTTGGTTTATATGTGTGTATTTTTGGAAATTTTCATTGGAGGATAAAAAAATGGAATATAATGACAATATAATTCCAATCCCATAGTAGATGTTTAATTATATTTTTGGTAGTAGGATTCTTACTAAACTCTGAAATCAGATTTGTATCCAATGTGCAGTAAACCAAATCTCTGAGTCACTAGGTTTGAAGCAGAGAAAGTTGTATAATCAGAAAGGCAGCCCATCGAGAGGGCAGGCAGGGGAGTATTCCCAAATCTGTCTTCCTGACTGAGCAAGTTTTATGATCAGAGGGGTTGAGATTGCATACATATTGATGAAAAGGGAGGGGGAAGTTTGTGACTATTCATGAGGAAAGATGGAGCATGCACATTGGGCAAACATAGGTAACATCTATCCCATATTCACTTTGGGGTGGAGATTAACACCAGAACGAGGCATGATTCAGTCTCTGACACCAGGAGGTTCTCTTAGGACAAGGAGAAGGAACTATGGGCATGCTCCATGAGCCCGTGGAAACTGGATGACAGGGTCTTGGGCTCATTATCTCGGGTAAGGGATGCAGAGCCTTGCTTGTTCATAGGCTGGAGCCATATCAGTTGACCTTGAGTCCAGGCTTCTGCAGAGACAGCCAGTGGGGTGTCTGAAAAGACACAATAGCTGATTAGAGAGAAACAGGTCTCTGAAAACCAGCTTTAAATTTTCTGCTGTGTTTCAGTCTCATTAACTCAATGGGGCATGGTTTCAGTATTGACCTCTGTTCCACTTTCCTTCCTTTGTCAAGATGTCATCTGGATTTAAAATTTAATGTCTTCTGTTACTAGTGTGAAGTTGTGGCACCCTCAGAATTTGAGGGGTTGTCATTTTCCAACTCTAACAGTCTAATTTTGAATTGTACCTTTAAAATTATTTTTTCTTTTATGTCTTACAGCTGATAAAAATTACTCTGTAAATCTTGAAGACCTGAAAAGTTCACATAAGAAAAGACATCACTTATCTACGGTGGGTATTTCTCTCTTCTGCTCACATTAGTTTCTTCAGACTGTTATGGACCTGCCTCCCTAGTTTAGTGGCTTTTTTTCACTCCTAATATGACTACATGTTTGTTTGTTTGTGTTTTTTTGGTAGTATCAAAATCTTTGTGTTGATTTTCATTTCAGCTAATGACTAAAAATAGATTCTGCCTTGCCTTTTAGCCAGTCTTTGTAATGAAAAAGAATTGTTTTATTTTTCCATTTGGGATAAAAGTATGGCACTTTTTCTTCTGCTGGGAAAAAAACCAAGGTAGTTTTGATAATGGGCCTCTGGCCACATGAAAGCGTAGCTAATGGTGGGCGGATATGCTCTTTTCAGGTAACAGCCAGGGGCTCCGCCCAGTATGAGCTCTTTAAGTCCACAGCCTTGGATGACACACTTGCTGCATCACAAACTACAATCACTTTGGATATTTCCTGGAGTCCTGTGGATGAGATTCTTCAAACCCCCCCACTTTCTTCAACTGCAACTCTGGTAAGAGTGAACCCTATTTTGTGTTGAGTTTATTCAATGTGGATTTACTTTTAACTTGCTTGCTGCTGGTGCTGCATACTTCCAGCCCCAGCACTGCTGGATGGTTCTGAGAGGCCCAGCTGACTCCTGAAGTCTCACTGGGGCAGCCAATGGAGGTTTGGCCAGGTGACCTTATCTGTCAGTTGCCCATAGTGGCCATTATGTAACTTTAGAAAGTCTCTTGAGTTGGGATCCAAGTGAAATCATCAGAGTGACTTATTTCTGCTATTAAAAGATTGCAAATATTGGCAACACATCAAGAACCATTATACTATTAAGGCTTTTCACCTTATATTTACATTTCTAGAATCTGTCTTAAGTTAATTGGAATTGGTAGCAAAAATATATGTGCAAAGATATTCTACACAGTGATAATAACTGTGTCCAAAATATTAAAAACAAACCTGACTGTTCAATAGGGAAGTGCTTAACATAGATTTCCCTGGTGAAATATTATACATTCTTTAAATATCATGATTTAAAGTGTCTTTAATGATAATAAATGCTTATCATTAAGCAAACAAAAGGAAAATAGACAAAATAATATATACAGTAGGATCTCAACTATGTTTTTGAAAACTGTGTACACAGATGCCTGGATAGTGTTAACTGTGGTTCCCTCGGGGTTGTGGGATTATGGATAATTACATTCTTAATGCTTTTCTTTTCCTGCAATAGGAATTTACATACAATGGCATTTACTTTTTTCCCCCTTTTATCCCCCTTTTTTTAAGGTTTTAGAAAGTTCCTAAAACTTTGACCTCTGGCTAAGACAGCACATTGTTGGTTTAGCTAGAAGGAGTCTATTGAACATATTTATTAGGGGGTGGTATTTTTGGTATGTGGTAATGCTGAGTTTGTCATTGGGTCTTAAGATGTATTTATTTACATTTCTCCCACTTTCTTTTGGAAATTCAGTGGGAAAGGGCAGGAGAAGAGGGTATGAGGAGAGCAGTTGTTCCAGGTAGGCACAATCAGGGTATAGAGAAAGGGGTTGGTAGCATGAGTTTAGGTTACTTATTGGGATGGACAGGATCTATGGTATCTCTGGGGGTGATGTTCTAAATGGAGTATTACCCTACTTATTCAGTTCATTAATGCTTTATGAAATATATTTTTTAATGTGTGGGAAGTTTGAAATGCAAGTAACTATGACCACTATGCAGAGAAGATGGCATTACCAGTGAAAACTGACTTTGGGAACTTTTTAGAATATTAAAGTGGAATCAGGAGAGCCCAGAGGTCCTTTGAATCATCTTCAAAGACAACTGAAATTTCTCCTTGTGAGTATCCTTCTGGAATTTGTGACTTATATTAAATTTTATGTTTTCATAAAAATGTTTGTTAATATCACTGTTACTTTGTTTTGTGTTCAAAATTTGTTCCAAATGTTACGAATTCAGTAGATACTCTCGGCAATTTGGACAGTATGATTTTACTGCATGGTAGTTGTCTTTATAATCACAGGGAGCATTAGTTAGTTAAGAGCTGCACTTCTTCCCCCTTTTTACTGGAGTATTCAGTTTCTATTCATACAATGGATTCCTCTCTTTTTAGGTGGGTCAGCTGCCAATTTATTCCAAATGCACGTATAACCTGCTTATTGATAACTGGGATTTTGATTCATGCTAAGGATTAGTGAGCATGTGTTTCAAGAATTTTATGTCTCAGTGAGTTTTACTCTATTCTACAAACTGAATCTCAAGGGGGTGCCTCATTTTAATGCAGTAGAAATTTGCAATGTCCTAGCCTGGCATAGAGAACCATTTACATCCAGTCACTGCCCTACTTACTTTTTTTTTAACAGCTTTATTGAGATATAAATTATATCCCATAAAATTCACTTGTTTCAAGTGCACATTTCAATGGTATTTAGGATACTTACAGAGTTGTACAACCGTGGCCATATATAATTTTGGAGCATTTTCAACAAAAGAAACCCGTACTCGTTAGCAGTCACCTCCCAGCCCCACCAGCCCCGCGGCCACTAACCTTTGTTAATACTTTGTTGTACTTTGTTCCTTTTTATCGGTGAATAGCATTCCATCGTACAGCTACACCACATTTCGTTCATCCACTCACCAGCTGATGGACGATTCTGTTGTTTCTGCTTTTTGACTATTATGAATAATGCTGCCACAAGCAGTCTTGTACAAGTTTTGTGGGACATATGTTTTCACATCCTTTGGGTGGAGTTGCTGGTCAGTGTGATAACTGTGTTTAAGCTTTTGAGGAGCTGCCAAACTATAACTGTTTTCCAAAGTGGCTGTACGATTTTACATTCCTGCCAACAGTGTGTGTTCCAGTTTCTCCATATCCTTGTCAACACTTGGTATTGCCTTTTTATTATGATTATTATTAATTATTTCCACCATCCTAGTGGGGATGAAGTGGTATCTCATGGTTTTGAGTTGCATTTCCCTGATGGCTTACTGACTTTGATCATCTTTTCATGTTCTTATTAGCTCCTACTTATTTCTTTAGCTTAATCTCACACCCTACTTCTACTCCCACTGAACCCCTCCCTAACCCTGGCCTGCTTATTGTACCTCGGTCCTGTCACGCTGTCACTTTGTGGTGAGTGCGTCTTGCTCTCCCTAGCATGCCCCTCCCCCACCCCGGTGCTGGATGAACTCTCTGTGACATCCTCCACCAAGAATGATTGCACTGATCCCCCAGAATGTCTAATGCTGCCTGTGCTTTGTGCCGCGAGAGCACTCTACTCACACCTCTTCTCAGAGTGTTTATCAAACACAGTGGTCTGTTTGCTTCTCTATTTCCCCTCCTAGACTTGAGTGACAGGTACTCTGCCTGCAGCATCTAGCACAGTACCAAGCATTTCTAATATTTCACCTCCCATTATTATTTCCCTGTTTGTATACAACTTGGTATTTTTTTCTCAACTTCCTCTCTGGAAAGCTCCTCTTTCAGGACCTTTCCTGTGGGCTTCCATCACACTTCTCTCCTCATGTCTCTGCTCTTCTCTCTCCACACCCTGGCAGAGAGCTTGTCACTCAGTGATTTCGCTTATGCCTTTCTGAGGGAACTCCAGACTCTCTTCTTCAAGCTGATACCATTCCCCTTCCTTCCCACTTCTACCAAATTATTTCCCAGTTGAGTAGAGGGCTGTTGCCTCAAACAGTATTTCCAAAATGAAACTTGAGATCTTCTCCAGACAAGATCCTCTCAGAGAAACCACCCACCCCATTTCTGTCTGTGGTTCCACTGTTCCTTCAATTTCCCAGGCTAGAAACCTTCTATTTTAGTTTAGTAAGAACTATTGCTACCACCACACTAACACGGAAGGATTTTTTCTCCTTCCGTGCCCTGGTTCTTGGTCACGCTGCTTTGAAGAATGAAGAGGTAACAGACAGAGTGGTGGGGCAGCAAAGCGAGGTTTATTGAGTGGTAGTACAAAGCTCCCAAAGAGGGAGGGAACCCGAGAAGGTTGCCGCCAGAGTTTCTCAATCTAGGGATTTTTATGGGCTTGTTAGCTGGCTGTTTTAATCTGACTAACCCTCCCTGCACCTGTCATCCAATCAGGTTTTTGTCCTCTATCACATGGGAAAGAGTGGAGGGCTCCTTCCAAGGTGGTGTAAAATCCTTTTAAGGGTGGTTTCCTCTTACGGCAGGGCCCCTTGTCCCTGCCTGTCTGCCTTCCAACTATCCTTCATCATAACCACCACAACTAGAAGCTGCCATTGTGTGCCAAGCATGTGGTGCTGGATGGATCAGTTATTTTGCTGGAGACATCAGCAGTTGCTAAGTGGAAGACCTGATTCAAATACATGTCTGTCATTCAAATGCATGCCTGTCCATCTGACTTGAAAAGTCCATGTTTTGTGATAACCTCCCTTATAAATTCACAGAATCTTAGATGGCCATAATCTCTTCCAAGTTCAGTCCCCTGAATTTTTGTAAATAGCTAGGATTTTTTTCTTTTATTTTTTCCACATTTCCCTTCCTCTCTCCCTCCCTTTCTAATAAACTGTTCTTTTTTTCCTTTAAGCTTTTTCGCACTGCCCATCTTAGTTAAAGCCCTTATCACCTGCCTCCTGGACCACTCTAATGGTCATTTATTGTTTCTCAACAGGGACACTATGGGCGTTTTAGGCAGAACCATTTTTTGTGCTTTGGGACCATTGTACACATTGCAAGATGCTTAGCATCCTTGGCCCCTACCAAACTAAATGCTCAAAGTGCCCTTGTACCCCCAGTCATCGTGACACCAAAACTATCTGCACATTTTTCCAAAGACCCCCCCCGGGGGTGGAAAATGATATCACCTCTACTGAGAAACATTGTACTTTCTCTTTTCCTTAGAATCCATCCTGGGTATTTCTAACACGAATTCTTAACAACTTGATCATGTCATGTTCCTGCCAAAAAATCGACAATGGCTGTTGTCTTTCATATGAAGTAAAAAAATCTTTTCAGGTTTTAAGATATGTCTAGCCCCTGTTCCTTCTAATCTCATTTCCCCCTGTTCCATAGGTGTTTTCTCCACCACGGCTGGACCTCGCCCCACCCTCTTCATGTTATTCCATGCTCCGTCCCTGCTCTGCAGCTCCTGATCCCCACATTTGCGTGCAGCTGATGTTTCACATTGTGCCCCTGGCTATTCTGGTCTCCCTTTCCTTTGGTGTAGATACTGTATGTGTAGGCATATACATTTATATTATTTTTATATAAACTTCCATTCAGTTTCATGTTTTTTCTTTCCTGATTATTGCACCTGGATTATCAGTCCTTTTTAACCAAAATTACAAGTGTCTTCAGGGCAGGTTCATTAGTCTGGAATCCTCGGTAGCACTGACGCACATGGCATCACCCTTAGAACACCATCTTTGGTACCAGACTGCTGGGTGTGTGTCTTGGCACCGTCATAATGTGTGATCTTGAGCAAGTTACTTTACCTCTCTTGGCCTCAGTGAAATGGGGGATGATGGTAATATCTGTCTGATGGGGTTTTTGTGAGGATTAAATACCATTCTACATATAAAACACTTAGAACTGTTCCTGACATGGTTAAATGTTCAAGAAATGTTATAATGACTGGTATTATTATTAAATATATTCCTACTGATTAAACTATCTTTTTTTTTGCTAAAAATTTTTTGGATTTCTTTTTTTTTAATCTCCCTTAGGTTTTGGCTGATGGTTTGCGGACTGGTGTAACCGAATGGCCTGAGCCTCTGGAAGTAAAATCTGCTGTTGAACTTGTGCAGGAATTTCTGAATGGTCTTTATTTTCCTAACTCACACTCTGTATATTGTTGATTTTCTTAGTTGAGAATTTATACTTTCTAAATTTAAAAATAAGTTGTCTTTCTAGGCTTGGTATTCTTTTTGGTTGGGAAATTTATAAAGCTGTGAGGTCTCTCATGGTCAGAGGGACAGATTTGTTCTGAATTACTAAGAGTAGAGGTCTAAGTAGTTTTAAGAATATTGAATTTAAATTTTATATACCACAGCTGTATTTGAGATTGTAGGAAAAGAGGGATGGAACAGAAACCTTTGAGCACCTACCATGTGCCCAACGTTGTGTGTCGGGGCTTTCACTGTATCTCAATTCATCCCCGCACTCCCACCTTGTGAGTGTGCATCATAACCTCCAGTAGAGTCAAGTAATTTGCTAAAATCCCTGGTTATACTTCTACTGTCCTCATTTACCATTTGAAAATAGGATTAGAATGGAAATAATTTAGAAAGCAGAAAAATAAAATCTAGAGTTAATAAGCTTTTCTACTTTCTAGACTTAAATAAGCTGGATGGATTTGGTGATCCTACAAAAAAAGACGCAGAGGTAAGTGATTCTTGTCAGTTAGAAATGTGCACTGAGATAGCTTTTAAAATTTGGTTGTACTGCTATCCTTCATGTCATACTATTTCAAGTGGATCTGGTATAGCTAAGGCAGCATCTTAAGGGTAGTTTTTTGTTGGTCTTTAATGTCAGCACTGGTGATTGTTTTACCTAAGAACTAAGAAATGCTTTTGAGGGGCGCCTGGGTGGCTCCATCATTTGAGCATCTGCCTTCGGCTCAGGTCATGATCCCGGGGTCCTGGGATCGAGCCCCGCATCGGGCTTCCTGCTCCGCGGGAAGCCTGCTTCTCCCTCTCCCACTCCCCCTGCTTGTGTTCTCTCTCTCGCTGTGTCTCTCTCTGTCAAATAAATAAATAAAATCTTTAAAAAAAAAAAAGAAATGCTTTTGAAGAGAACTAATACGTACGTATTATTAATTGGTCAACTGCAGAGAAACAGAAATGACCAAGTCAAGATGCTATTAGATGGCATTGTTATACTAATATACTATGAAATGATATGTTAATATGCCTTTCCTGGCATCATTAAATTAAGCTAAATAGGTTGTCATTTGATGGAACAGGAAAATGGAGACAAATGTCATTTAAGTATTTTTGCATCGAAGGAAAGTTGAATGCTTGCTTTTAGGCATCACACTTGTATAACAATTTTAGGGGTCCCATTTTTCACTGTCACTTGATTGATCTCTCCTCCTGATTGAATGAAGTTATAGAAAATTCATTCCCATCTGTGGATCCCCATTTTCTCAGAGCAGCATTTGAAAGCTCACTGGCCTTGAACTATTCCTTTTCTTGCTTAATAAACTGAGTCACTCTTTGACGCTGCTTTTTCAGACGGTGAAGCATGACAGTGCTGCGGTTGACCGCTCCATCGAGTGTCTCTTCACAGTACGGGGGGATCTGGATTTTGCTGAGCAGCTGTGGTTCAAAATGAGTGGTAGTAGGTGTCTGTCATGATTGTGAAATAAAATGTTTCCTGTCATTTGTTAGGTTTACTTTTAAGTCTTTGAAAATAATACAGGACTAGTGTACTACTAGTCTTGCATGGAAGGCTGGTTCCTATTTTCTCAAATTCACTTCTAATAATGAACTGGCACATTCTACTCAAGAATTGTACTAAGATAAGGCAATTTATAGAGTCTGTTCTTCTCTCCTGCCTTGAGTATAAGACGTAGGTGGCTTTTATATTACATTTATATGAATAAACACCTCCACCTTAGTGGCATTATAATTATTAGCAAAAGGAAAAGATATTCCTTAATTTTGCACTGTGTTACTTTGTGACAGTGAGTTTACTCTCTTACTTTAGAAATGTGTTAAATCTTTCTTTTTGCCTTTAATTTCTTTCCCCTTCCCCCACCCATAAAGTACAGATACTTCTATTTATTTGTCTATCCTTAAGATTGATGATATATTTGAGCTGCAGAAATACCGTGAAAGTAATGTTGGACTGACTTGTTTTCCAAGGTGTGATTTCATACCAAGACTTGGTGAAGTGTTTCACACTGATCATCCAGAGTCTACAACGTGGTGATATACAACCGTGGGTAAGTTTAATAGTGTGTGTTAGAGCACTTTTTCAGCTGTACAGCATGGGCCCGGGAGCAGACTGCCCGAGTTTGAGCCCAGCCCTCCTACTCTCTTAGCTCTGTAAACTTGGGCAGGTTTCTTTACATCTCTGTGCGCCAGCGTCTTCATCTGTACAGTAGAGGTAGGAAAAGTACATCTGTCATAGGGTTGTTTTAGGGCTTAAAAAAGAATTTGTTTTTTTTTTAAGATTTTATTTATTTATTTGAGAGAGAGACAGCACAAACAGGGGGAGTGGCAGAGAGAGAGGGAGAAGCAGGCTCCCTGCCGAGTAGGGAGCCTGATGTGGGGCTCTTAATTTATATCAAGACCTGAGATCAAGACCTTATATCAAGACCCTGAGATCATGACCTAAGTCGAAGGCAGACACGTAACCCATTGAACCACCCAGACACCCCATTAGGGCTAAATAATTTAATTCATGTAATGCAACTTAGCACCCAGCTCATAATTAAGTGTTCAGTATGTGTAAGATACTAGTACTGTAGTTGTTGCTGTGAATGATCATTCTCACATACTACTGATGAGAGCACAAATTGGGATATTCTCTATGAAGCAATTGTGGATAATACACTGAGATCCTCAAAATGTATCTGCATGCCCTTTAAATCATTAGTTTTTTTCTTAGGATCCACCCTAAGCTCATACATAGGAATATGTATCAAGATTTTATGTGTTAGAATAGTCACCACAGCCTCATTTATAGTAGCAAAAAGTTATAAATAACCTAAATTTTCTGTTAATGGACTAAGTAAATAATGGTATAGCCTCATAATGGCATGTGTGATTGTTGCTAAAATGATGCTGACAGATGATGTGGAGAAATGCTTACAATCTGCAGTAAAAAGAAAGGACTATATATTATTGCATAAAGAAAGTAACTTTTGGAGGGAAAAACCTGGGAATAAATATACCAAAACTTTAAAGCAGTTGCCTCTGGTGCTAGGGTTACATATGAGTTTTTCCAACTGCATTCTACATTTCTACACTTTATGGATTTTCCACAATGTACTTGTGCTTTTACAATCAAGAAAAAGCTAAGTAAAAAAACTAGAAACCAAAAGATTCCTCATTTCATAGGAATTTTTTGAAATAGAGTAGCTGCCAATTCATAACTCCAAAACTTAGAAACTTTCACGGGCGTGCACAGAGATCTGCTGCAAAGCGGAGGCATGTGAGTGCTGCCTCTCACTGGGCGGTGGTGGCTGTAGGCATTCTAACCTCTGCCGTAGAGGTTTTCTCACACGACTTTCTGTGTTTGTGAGATGTTTGCCAGTATATCCTCGTCATGTGCAATGAGTGCAAACAACACAGAAATCGTTTTTATTAACACAAGGGAAACGCCAAAGGTTATGATGGAGCTTAGAGATGACAGACATTAGTGAGAAAATGTCCAGTATTTCAGGTATCTTTAAAACGAAGTGTTTAACATTTGGTACATGCGTTAGATCTATAAGTTCACAGCCCTTCTTGATTTGCAGATGATCTAGTTAGTATGTGAGATATTGTAGCCAAGGAGCGCCTTCTGACACATGTAGAGACCAGCGAGGGTGGCAGTTGTCCCGAAGTAGCAGGTGTTCTGTGCAGAGGAAGATGCTCAGTGTTGGGGAGGATGCCCAGGAGCACTTAATGAGCTCTAGGAGAAAGGGAGTCCTAGTTACGAAGCTTCAGAGGACCAACTCTGTCTTCTCTTTGGTGGAATTGTATCTGGGGGTGATCAGTTGAACCTCTTCGTAGTTGCTTTGGACTAAAGCAAATCATATAGGAATGACACTTCAGAAATGGGCATGTTTATAACTTAGGGCTTTTTATTCAAACAATTTATGGTATCAGGAGACTAAAAATGCACGCTTATCATTTTTAGCTCATAGCTAATGCAGTTTGCTTCTTTTTTGTTTATTGGATTTGTTTATCTTTTTATTTATGGTATATATTTTTTTATTATTTCTAGCTCCATAGTGGGAGTAACAGTTTACTAAGTAAGCTGATTCATCAGTCTTATCATGGAACCATGGACACAGTTGCTCTCAGTGGGACTATTCCAGTCAAGATGCTTTTGGAAATTGGTCTGGACAAACTAAAGAAGGATTATATCAGTTTTTTCATAGGTGAGTCCCTTTCCCAGCTCAAAAAATTAAAAAGCACTTCACAATTATCAGTCATAGGTATTCTCAGATGTTCTCTTTCTACTTGGCCCTAGTCATTTATAGCTCTGGCTTTGGCTCTGGTTCACTGTGAGATTAGCACTTCTGTTCTCCGACGTTTAGTTTCCTTCTTGATAAAGATACTCGATTAAATAGAACTCTAGATTTTGTTTGGTTGTGTTTTGAGTTCAAAGATTTTGAGATCCTACAAGGTTGGTGTAGTAAATAAAAAAAAGCCTTTTTGTGGGATGCTGTTTTAATACCCAACACTTGGTTGTTTTTATTAGATGCAAGCTGTGAGCATTTTAGAGTAGCATTAATATATATTTAATGTATAACATGCCAGAAAATTTGGCCATTTCTGAGGAACTATTTAGCTTGAGCATCCCTTTTATATATGAGCTCTGAAAAATTTTACTTAGGTTCCTTAGCAGGTAATAGACAATACCCAAAGCTTATTTGCATTTATGTGTTTTTTCTTACTAGGTCAGGAACTTGCATCTTTGAATCATTTGGTGAGTTTGTTTTTTTATTCTAAAATTGATTTTCTTTTATTCATTCTACCTGTAGATACTAAATACCTATTCGTGCCAGCCCCTGTCCTAGGACCTAGGAAACAGGTAGATAAGTAGACAGATAAATAAATAACAGATAAAGTACTCCTTATTTTCATGAATCCCCCCTAGTCATTTCATTTGCCTGTTTTTTATTTTAATATGGTTTGACTCCAAACTTTTGACACAATGGTCCTTAAACTTGGAGAATCTCCTTGAAGGCTTACTGAATTGCTAATTCCTGGGCCCTAGTGACTCCATAGGCCTGGGGTTCAAGAATATGTCTTTTTAAACAAGTCCTCTCCTATTTCAAATGATTCTGATGCTTTTTCCTTACTGTATTCATTTTCTGTTACTGCATAACAAATTATAGTAGTCCCCACCTATCCATGAGGGGTTACCATGGGCAGTACTGAATCCTTTGTATACTGTGTCTTTTCCTGTACACACTTACCTATCCTAAAGTTTAGGCACAGTCAGAGATTAACAGCAATAACTAAAAATAGAACAATTATAATGATATACTGAAATAAAAGTTATGTGGTGTGGTTTCTGCCTTTCTCAAAATATCTTACTATGCTCACCAGTCTTGCTCACAAGACCCAAAGAGATTGAGTGAGGTGAATGATGTAGGTGTTGTGACCTAGTGTTAGACCACTATTGACCTTTCAGGAGGACTGAAACCATAGAAAGTGAAACCTTGGATAAAGGGGGAACTCCTGCAGTATAAACTTAGAAGCGTAAATGAACACAGATGTATTATATCAGTTTCCCGGGGTTGGTCGTTAGGTACATTTTACCTGGGTCGTCTGCTTAGGGTTTCACAAGGCTGAGATCAAGGTGTCATCCCTCTGCTTGACTAGGGAAAAATCTACTTCTAAGTTCCCTCATTTGTTGTTGGTACAATTCATTTCCTTATGGCCTGATGACCAAAGTTCCCATTTTATTCCTAGCTCTTGGCCCACAGCCAGTCTCAGGTCTTAGGGGTTGCTTGTGGATGGGCAGTTTGTTTCTTCAGAGCCAACAGGAGAGCATCTCTAATGCTTCACCTTCTCTTAAAAATCTCACCTGATTAGGTAGGTCATAGTGATGACCAGGTGATAATCTCCCTTTTGATTAATTCAAAGGCAGTCATCTAATAAACATATCATGGAAGTAACATCCCATCATATTCACAAGTTCTGGCCTCACTCAAGGGGAAGGGATTATACAAGATGTGTACATCAGGCAGTGGGACTCTTGGGGGCCATCATAGAATTCCACCTACCATATTTACCATGGAGTATTTCCTTAGGAGCTGTTCTCAGAAATAGGATGAGGTCTGAGCATTTTAAGATGCTTGACATACATTGCCAAGATTCTTCTTTTAAACAGTTGTACCACTTTACCAATAATAGATGAGTGGAAGCTTATCAATACACTTGATTAATTTCTTGGTACTTGTTACCTATTTTTAGAGGTGGACACTTCCGTCAACCCGGCAAGGGTATTGAAGTTAAGAATTATCTTGTGGATTTGCCAGTTATTCCATCTGGAGAGCTCTATGGGTGGTATTAGTTACCCCACTCAGGCCTCCTTGGTAAGGCAGTTCTTGGATTTGTTTAGACCAGAGAATGTAACGGTTTGCTGAGAACATTGTCAGTAACGACCAATAATACTGAAAGGTGGTAAATTTCTCTCTGGCTGCCTCCGTATTTTTTCCCCCCTATTGATCAAGCATAGTTGAGGTTTAGCAAGCATAGCAATCTTTGTAAAGATTGTTCTGTCCTTTAACTCCCTATTTTGCTTGTACTGTTTTTCATTCCAGGAATATTTCATTACTCCATCAGTAGATATACAAGAACAGGTGTATCGTGTTCAAAAACTCCACCATATTCTAGAAATATTAGTCAGTTGCATGCTTTTCATTAAGCCCCAGCACGAGCTCCTCTTTGCTTTAACACAGTAAGTATTGCTCTCTTGTTCCCATCACATGAACATGAATTCTCTTGTGAAATAGCTGGAGCCGAAATTTGTGCAGTTTTTATTATCAGTTAGGCTTGAATCTGTACAGCCTGTCTTCACAGTAGCAGAAGGGTTCTCAATCCCTGTCGGAGGAAGGGAAAGGCTTTGGATTCAGAAGGACTCAGGTTCGACACTTGGCTCTAGCACTTTCTGACTTCCTGAGGAAGTTTCCTTTCGCTGCATCTTGTTTTCTCATCTAGAGACAGGAACTGATAACCTCATGTGTTGGTTGTTGGGGTTAAATGATGGCCTGTGTATAAGTACCCAACACCTAATAGGTGCTTCATGACTATTTCCTTTTCTTTTCTTTCTATCCTTATACATTGGGGCCAAATGAATCATTGCTAGATCTCCATATGGTGATTGAATGGAACCAACTATTATTACCATACCTCTGTCAACAGCGCTGCTATAATTTTAGATTCTGCTGATCAGTTTGATCAGAAACAGTTTGGAACTATCCTCTTACGTGGGTTGCTGGTGTCTTATATGTATTTGAAGCCTCACATTGGAAATGAGTGAACCATCCGGGGGAAGGGCTGGCTTTTTCCCTGTGGAAGGAAATGTACCATGGCCTTTCCCGAAATCAGAATCTGTCTCCGTTGTACAGGGAAAAGTTTGAAATTGTTGTTGTTTACAGAATCTAAAAGATTTATTTTCATTAAAGATGAATAGGGTAGGGTGCCTGGGTGGCTCAGTCGTTAAGCGTCTGCCTTTGGCTCAGGTCATGGGAGCCCCACATCGGGCTCCCTGCTCTGCGGGAAGCCTGCTTCTCCCTCTCCCACTGCCCCTGCTTGTGTTCCTGCCCTGGCTCTCTCTCTCTCTGTGTGTTAAATAAATAAAAATCATTAAAAAAAAAAAAGATGAATAGGGTAAATGAGTTAACTCTTTAATTCGCCAGAGTCTGAAAACGATGGAAGCTATATCATTGTCTCTCTTTTGCTTTTCTTTTTCTGATAACATTTCTCCCCACTCATGCCTTTACTTTGGCTCAACTTAAGTATATTCTATATTTGTGAGAAATATGTCTTCTATTGCTTTTTAAAAATTGGAGAAAAAAATTGAATGAGATTTCCTTTCAGAGTCAAAAGCAACCTAACTTTTGTGTCAGGGGAGGGGGCATCGTTTTGTTCGTTTACTTTTGTGGCCCTGGAATTATTCTTTTGTTGTTGTTTTGGTTAGTGGTACTGGATGAAAAGTTTCCCATATGAGCTTTAGATTACCAGAAAGCCTTTATCTCCAAGGGACATTTTTTTTCCAAAAGAGGTCCTTTGTTGTTGTTGTTGTTGGTTTTTGTTTGTTTGTTTTAGATCCTGCATAAAATACTACAAACAAAATCCTCTTGATGAGCAACACATTTTTCAGCTGCCAGTCAGACCAACTGCTGTAAAAAGCTTATATCAAAGGTCAGCAATTTAGTAATTAAATTATACTTTAAAGGGGGGTGCCTGGGTGGCTGTCTGCCTTTGGCTTGGGTCATGATCTCAGGGTCCTGGGATCAGGCCCCCATGTCTGGCTCCCCGCTCAGTGGGGAGTCTGCTTCTCCCTCTCCCTCTTCTGCCCCTCCCCCTACTTGTGCACATGTACTCTTTCTCTCTCTCTCTGTCTCTCAAATAAATAAATCTTTAAAAAAAAAGATTATACTTTAAGCCTGGCTGTAATTCCTGGGCAGTTTCTGTGTCCTTCCCCTGGGGATCTCCTGACCAAGAGCTACTCCACCTCTGAAGCCTTAATCATCTCTTTCCTGCTCTGTGATTGTCATCTGATAGGAGTTCCCCCTCTTTCCTCTCCCAGACTTTCTTTTGTCTTTTCTCTATCTGTGGACTTCTAGTCTTTCATTTTTTCTCTCAATCTGTAATTCCTTCACAGTATAGGGCAGAAAATACAGCCAGAAGGGAAATGACAGATTGGGAAGGAAGTGATCAGGGCAGTGATGACAAAGCCAAGGGTATGGCTGTGGGAGCGAGAGGGTTTGGGATTGGGGAGGTATGGGGGCTTTGAGGCTAAGGTGATGGATTGGCCATCCAATCCACATAGACTCTGAGGTTGCCTCCAATGATGGTCTCCCTGACTCTTCCCTCTGCATGCAATGTACTTGAAATTTCTCTTCTACCCAAGCCACTCTGTTTATACCCTCCCTCGGTTTGGTTCCCTCTCAGCCAAACCTTGTCATTCCTTGAAACTGCTCTGGCAGAGGGCCCCAGTGGCCTCCTAATTGCCAAATCTGGTGGACAACTTTCTGGTAAAAGAGTATGTTTTAGCCCCTTGTGTCATTAGCTGGCCCACCAATTCTTTCTCCTTACAAGTAAGCACTTACAAGGTTGTTTGGCATTTAACACTATTCCTTTCTTGGACCTATCCCCTTGCTTCATTTCTGTGATGTAGCTTCTGTCTTAATTTTACCTCTCTCTCTGGCGTACCTGCAAGACTGAGAGTAGATCTCTCTTCAAGTTCTTCCTCTGCCTGCTTCTCATGTGGGTTTTCACCAGAACTCCACCTTCTGCCTCCTTTTCTTCTTACTTCCCGTCTTCCCTGGCTGGTTGTATTTGTACTCAAGGCCTCGCTCCCTCTGTGCTAATGATGATTCATAACTCATGTCTTTAGCTCCTGAGCTTCAGGCCGTGTTTCTAGATGCCTATTAGATGTGAATGCCCAACATCGGTGTCCTGTAGGTAGTTCGGACTCAAAACCCAAAATTTAGAACTGCAGCCTGTTCGTCTCTGCTTCCTCCATGCCTCTCACATCAGGATTTCTCTAATGAGTGTGGAGGGAAGGAAGGGAGGGAGGGAGGGATGGATGGAGGGAGGAAGGAAATGAAGAAAAAGGAAGGAAATAACTCGGGCTTTTTTGTTCCCCTTTGATGTTTTCTCTTTCCTTAGTGAGAAGCCGCAGAAATGGCAAGTGGAAATAAGTGGTGGTCACAAGAAGGTGAAAACAGTTTGGCAGCTGAGTGACAGCACACCTGTAGACCATCTGAGCTTTCACAAATCTGGTAAAGATGGTTTGTCATCTGTTCAGATAAGTTCTTCCAATAGAAGAGAAACGGAATCTTTACTAGCACATAGGATAGCTCTCGTGCTTAGTTTTAAAGGATTTTCCTGAACTGCAGGTGTAAAACATATTTATTTTGGAAAAAAACCCTGGAAGAGTGCTTTTTCTCATTATCCTCGATAGAGGAACTTTTATTAAAAGAGGTCAAGCAATAGGGATACAGGGAGTAAAAACAGATTATAAGGTTGGAATTCCAGCTCATTCTTTTGTGCACTCTTTTATTGATGATATTTCTGCCCTAATGTCTTCTCTGGGGGGCAGGAGGAGGGTTGATACTTCTAATGTTCTGTCAAAGATGGTCCAAGTCAGTCAGAGAATGTGTGCGAGCCCCTGGCATAATCAGCTGGCTCCAAGTATTTCTCCTTCAGCCAAAGCACCTGTAAACTGTTATCTTCGGGTGTGTGGATTGCATGGTGCAGTCCTCTCGTATAGATCTTAAATGGCTGCATTTCAGATATTGCGATGATTATCCAAAATCAAATCTGATCGTTTTAAGACAGAATCTGAAAAGATTTCAAAAGCCTATAGTCAGCCACTGCTGCTGGTTGTTGAACTGCTGAACTATACAAATAGTTCTATTTTAGAGATTGATACCTTGCAAAATTATTTCCAGAAAATGTTTGTTCTTCTCCCCAGTATATTTTTGGATTCAAGCATAATGGAAACTTCTCTCTTCATATGGCTGAACGGTAAAAGTCCTAAAGAAACTGAAAAATATTCCTGAGAACCATCAGTTAAAATTTTTCTAAGTGTGATTGAAACCTGGAGGGTATAAAGCTTGAAAATCAACCATATAAAATTAGAAAAATTTCTGCATGACAAAAAAATACCAGGGGCAAAACAACAAGGAAAATTAATTTGCTGCCCATGTTCAGAAAAGGGGCTACATTGCCTAGTATATAAAGAACTCTTAAATCAGTAAGAAAAATATATTAATAACTCAATAGAAAAATGGGCAAGTAACACGAACAGTTTACTAAAAAGGAAATTCAGATGTCATCTTCAAAATAAAAGGTGCTCAGCCCCACCTATAGTAAGAGAAATGCACATTTGTATCCCAGAGATACCATCTTTCACCTGTCAGATTAGCAAAGATCAAAAAGTTTGGTGTATAGTACTGGCAAGGATGTGAAGAGGTGGTCTGCCTCACACATTGCTGCTTCAAGTGTAAGGTTGTACAGCTCCTGTGGAGAGTGATATCCACCAAAATTTAAAATACATTTTGTAGGCCCCTAGTTTTACTAGTAGGGATTTATTCCATACATAAAACCAGACATGTGGAAAAAGACCTATGAACAAGTGTGATATTGTTTACAGTAGCAAAAGCATGGAAAAAAATAATGGAGAATGGGGCATAAGAAAATATCTGGAAGGGTACAATGAAATTTTAACCCGGAGGTGTGGCATCATGGGGGCAGGGGTTGTTCTCTGCTTTGGGTGAACATTAAAATCATTTAGGGAGCTTTTTAAAGTCTTAATACCAAGACCAAGTAAATCAATCTCTGGAGCTAGTGCCTGGACATCAGTAATTTTTAACATTCTCCAGGGAATTCTATTGTGCAACTAGTTTGAGAACCACTAATTTAAGTATTTTGTTTCTCTACCTGTGTTGTTTCAGATTTTTTTCTTTTTTAAAGACCTATATTTTATGATTAAAAATAAAGTTTTAAAGCCATGAACATATTTGAAAATGCCGTTTTAAAGTAAGTTTTAGTACGTAAAGCTTAAACCTGTTTTATGAGGAAATTCATGCAAGATTAAACACCTTTTTCAATGATGCTGATTAAGTGAAATAGATTGAACGTATCTTCTAGAGTCTTTGATGCAGATTACTTCAAAAAAGAGTGAAAGTTACTTTGGTTAGAGTTAAAACAATTTATTGATGCATTGTTCCAATGACTCCGTCTGTGAAAATAAGGAATTTTTTTTTTTTTTTAAATAGGAATTCTTACGAAATCGTGTATTTGCGTGCTTGGGAAAGCACTCATACTCCATTTTGGCTAGAACTTTTTAACCTCTTCTCCCCATCTTATGTTCTTGATGTGTTCATCTAGAAATTATTCAGTCCTCAGCCCAAAGCAAGACCCACTGGTGAAGGAGGCCCTCAGTTGTAAGCAGTATGGGCTATTCAAAGACCCAATTGTGTAAATATTAAAGCCCAGTCATGATTTATTTTTGCCAAACATCATATGCATTTCAGAGGTTAGACTTTCTGCTTCATTGGACTGAGCACTTAGGTCAATTACTAGCTTTTCAAAATATCTCATGTTGTGATACTGTAGAGTAAAACATTGGGATCAAAAGCCGGAAGACTTGAGAAGAAATGTCATGGGGAAGAGAATAATGATTTGGAGTGAACAGGGGAGAAGATCAGTGTCCGGGAGAGTGCCACTCTCCCAGGGGGCACTCCTCAAATGATTGTTGAGAATGGTGAGAATGTGGAAACCAAAATGTTGACCCACAAGAACGGGGACATAATCTCATCTAAATGTTAATTGTACCATTTATTTTTTAAATACAACAGTCTTCAGCAGAGGAAAAAATGCATATGTGTCTAGAAGTCCCAAGTAGAAATTGGTTTCTGAAACGTGTGTTAAGATTGGAAAAAGAGTTTAACCACAGTGGATGAGACACAAAGATAAAGCAGTAGGTTCCCAAATTAAAAATACAGGATTAAAAAAAAAATCTGCTTTGTATTTTCTTTAATCACGTTTTCAGTGCACAAAGGGTTTACTATTTAAAGGAATTGTCCCTGCTGGGTTTTGTCTCACAAATTCAAAGTAGAAGACACATGTCATTCAGATTACCTCTTGATTATTGTAACATTCAGCAGTATGTAGTAGAAAGGCCAGCAGGCTGGTAAGGAGTTCTGATCTCTGGTTACAGATGTTTCTGAGTTAACATTGAATGGTAGCCTGGAAGAAAGGATGTCCTTTACTAACCTGGTTACCTGCAGCCAGGTGCATTTCAAGTGAAGTCGGCTGATGGAGTCCTCTGTAAGGTAGTATGTTCGCTTTGTGTTCCCCCCCCAAATACTTTGTAATGTATTAAGTATCTTATGTGTCAGTTTTTTCTACAACAGAAATGTTGATTTAATCCATTTGGAATATGGATTATTTTTCAGTAATCATGCAAGAGGCTTACCAGATGTTATTGAGCAACGCAAGTCTTTAATTTCCTTTCTACCTTCTGTAGTCACCTTAATAGGTCAGGTTAATCCTAAAACCAGAGAAACGAAAACATTTTTTTGAGTGATAATGTCTTTGCATTGTAAATCTGTATATGTGGTAGAGAGTTTGATTTCAAAAACATTGATGGGAGAGAAAAACCCTGAACGAGCCTGTTGATTTGACATTGAAAGCAAAGTTCTGTTAAAAGCAATTTTACCCCAGCCCCCCGATATTTTATAGCAGCATTATCAACAATAGCCAAACTATGGAAAGAGCCCAAGTGTCCTTCGACTGATGAATGGGTAAAATGAAATTTTTATTTCATTCCTATATACAATGGAATATTACTCAGCCATCAAAAAGAATGAAGTCTTGCCATTTGCAACAACATGGCTGGAACTAGAATATATTATGCTATGTGAAATAAGTCAGTCAGAGAAAGACAAGTACCATATGCTTTCACTCCTATGTGGAATTTAAGAGAAAAAAAAAAAAAACGGATGAGCATATGGGATGGGGGAAAATAAAGAGAGGGAAACGAACCATGAGAGACTCTTAACATTAGAGAACAAACTGAGGGTTGATGGGGGGAGGTGAGTGGGGGATGGGCTAGATGACTGATGCGCATTAAGGAGGGCACTTGTGTTGAGCACTGGGTGTTATATGTAAGTGATCAATCATTAAATTTTACTCCTGAAACCAATATTGCACTGTATGTTAATTAACTGTAATTTAAATAAAAATTTAAAAAGAACAAAACACTTTTACCCCAGCCCAGTTGTAGTGCCAAAGCCCCAGATGTAAATACCCTTTTTAAAATGTTTGGGATAGCCAAGAGAATTAATGCAATAGCATTTTCTACTGTCTTACTGTTTTTGTGTTTCAGAAACAGTAGAATTAGGTAATGAATAAAATGCTTCATATCATTCTTTCTTAAGCCATGTTTTGTCCCCAAATAAATAGATGTTATTTAATTTTAGCATTTTAGCACAATTAAAGAATAAAATGGACCTTCATTTTAAAAACCCTGAATACCTAGTTACAGAAAAGATATTAAATAATATTTCTTTGAGGTATTTCACTGAGGTTAATTGAATTTAACGCAAGAAAGTTTATCTCAGAAAAGTGTATGTGCTCACTTACCTGGTACCCACCTAATGCATTTTCCTAGTTGCTTGATAGAATTTAGAACCTGAAGGGATTGTTATCTGTAGATGATTGACTCTGTCCATTGTGTGTAGGACAGTGCTAGGATGGCAATTATTTCCACATTAAAGTAATGTTTCTGGATAGATTTTTACTTTTATTTATTTATTTTTTCCAAAGGAAACCTTTTTTTTTTAAGTTTCTATTTTTTTTAAAAGATTTTATTTATTTGACAGAGAGAGACACAGCGAGAGAGGGAACACAAGCAGGAAAAGTGGGAGAGAGAGAAGCAGGCTCCCCGATGAGCAGGGAGCCCGACCTAGGGCTCGATCCCAGGACCCTGGAATCATGACTTGGGCCAAAAGCAGACGCCTAACAACTGAGCCACCCAGGCGCCCCTATTTTTATATATTTTTTAAAAGATTTATTTATTAATTTAAGAGAGAGAGAGTATGAGCAGGGGGAGGGGCAAAGGGAGACAAGCAGACTTTGCTATAACTGGGGAGCCTGTCACAGGACTCGATCCCAGGACCCTGAGATCATGACCTGAGCCAAAATCAAAAGAGTTGGATGCCTAATCAACTGAGCCACCCAGGCGCCTCTGGATAGAGTTTTAGAAGGAAAAAAAAATCAAGTATCAAAACAGTTTGTGCACTATGATTCCTTTTTTGCAAAGTGACGATAGATGTCTAATAGCAAAATATTAACATTGGCTTTGACAGGTGATTTTTATTTCATTTATGCTTACTTTTATTTTCTAATTTTTAAATCCCAGCACAAGACCCAAAAAAAAAAAAATTTATCACAGAGCCTGAAAACAGAAATGTATATAAACCTTCAAAGCAGAGAAAGGAGGAAGATCCTGAAGATTCTTGATGAAAGATGAATCCACAAAATGGGTGACCCTGTCTCAGCTCTGGCTCCGCAGGAGGAGCATCAGGAGAACTGCAGAGATTAGTACACAGAGGGTGCAGACTGTAGGTACCACGATCTCTGTCACCATCTGCATGTGACTTAGCAGCGGCTCTGAAATGGGAGAGAAAACACCACAAATGAGCATGTCATCATTTCAGCGAATATAGCCTCACCCTGAAAGATTCAGCTGTATTGGGAAAAACTTGGAAAATGGTATCATCAAGCTTTGTAATTATTCTCAGTTGCTCTAAAAGAGAACATGGTGAATGAAATGTTACTAAAAAATTTATGTGAGGGCTTTATAAAATATTTCAGAAAGTATGGGGTAAAGAATGCCTACATTTCGTTCTTCCATAGGTATTAGAATAAAGTCTAAGTGTATGTTATACTTACCCTTAATTCATATGAGGATATTAACTAACAGGCGTGTTCCACGGTTGCTGTAATTTTCACTGGGGGGGGGTTGTGAAAGAAAAATCATGGGGAAGCATCGGTAACCTTTCAAAGATGTTACTTTGTATCTTAAGAGGTGTAAGAGTTTCCATACTGAAAGTTTGTGTGGCAATTCTTGCATGGTTAATTAATCTTGAAGAGTTGAGTGGTAAGCATGTTTCATGTGCATGATTATAGTAGTGGACATTTATGTAATTCCCACTTCTAGGTTTTGTGCCTGCCACCCTGGCTACCATGATAAATAAGGCATGAGGCCCTGTTCCCACAGAATTCATAGACTCAGCAGTAAATTCTACATCATGTGTCTAGGTGATAAAATAAAGTTAATTTTGGTTTAAAGGAATATATATCCTTAATATTACCTGGTTATTTAGATGGGAGCAGAGCACGGTAGTGTATTGGCCTATAAAAATAGCTGAATTGGGGGAAAAAATAGCTGAATTGGTAGGATTTGTTCCATCTAGCACTTTCCACCTCTGATACCACATTAAAGATGGGTTTGTTAAAACAGGAAGTATACTTCTCTGATTGCCCTTAGGGAAAGACAGAATTCAAAGAAACATATGCTGTGTGCTGGCATTCATTAATATGTAGATGCATCTTTGTTATTCTACATCTCTGAGCCTTTTCTATCCTACTGCACCAGAAACCTTGCCTTAAGGGACCTTGTTTGGTTTATTGCTGGGCTTAAAACACCCCTTAGCTAATAGTGAGTGCTCAATAATTACTTGCTGAATGAGTGAATATAATACCTGGAGTGTTCTTTGCCTTTCTTTATTTGAATATGGTTGCATTTTTCCCTCCTTCCACAAACCCACTGTAACCAAAATAGGTTTATAAACTGGCTGTATGATTCAGAAAGAATCAAACTAGGGAGGATAAAATATTTCTCTTTTGTGGTAGATTTTTTAAATGTTATTTGAAATGCTTATAAAACAAATTTGACATTGTTTCAAAGTGAAGGAAAAAATTCATTTTTAATTGTATGTTTCGGAATGATTGACTTCAGGTAGATCCACATTTTGAGGTTTCGGTAACGTCATTATACATATAATTATGTGCCTTAATTTTCAAAGGGAAAAATTAAAATATACTCACCTGCAGCAAGCATCTGGTTGTTGATAGAACAAGTTTCCAAGGCTTTGAGGTACCAACTCTCCACCTAATAAAAACCCACTAGGTAAGTAATGAATCTTAGACTAATTTTTTGCTGTTCCAAATCATTTTTGAAATAATGTGGGATTCAAAAAGCTTAAATCTGCCTGGAGTTTAAATTAGTTAATATTTATTAAATATCTATGTGCATCATTGTGAGGGAGTCAGAAAAAACAAAACAAAACAAAACAAAACTGGTCTTTATTCTTGAGGAGCTTACAATCTAGCACTTTTCTAGAAATGCCAAACTGGTGAATGCCTATGAGTCACTGTTTATGGTGCCACTGGGCTCATCCTAAAAGGACATTGGTAAACAACTGAGATTTATTTTTAGAAGTTATCTTTATTGAGTCATTCTAAATTACGATTTTTATTTCTTGCCATCAATAGCAACATAGAGAACGGATAGAAAAATCTACAGGTGACTGAAAATGGTATGTTTTAAAGGATTGTTAATACTGTTTGATCATTTTTAATCTCATTTTGGAACTAGTGGGAGAAAAGAAGTGAAAGTTATGCTCATTATACATTTAATTTGCCTGTTTCCATATATGTTAAAGAGTAAGTAGGCAGTATTTGTTTGCATTAAGATGTAACATTTAGGATAACATTTAACTAGAAGTCTCTACTGACTCTTATAACCTAAAACAAACAGGACTTCTACATAACTTTCTTTGTTCTTCATGCTCTGCAAGTTGGGAGTGAATTTGAAGTGAGGACTGAATTTTAGGGCATGTTTACCCCATTCTAAGCAAATGAGCAAAGAGGTGGCACAAATTAGGGGAAGAATCAAAGGCCCATGTTCCCACACAGCCCCGTTCTCCTCCACAGAGGAGAGAGGCTTGCCACACTGCACACCCCAAGCTGCTTAGCTCTTCAAAAATCTAGAACAAGTGAGGGGCGCCTGGTTGGCTCGGACGTAAGAGCACATGACTCTTGATCTTGGGTTCGTGAGTTTGAGCCCATGTTGGATGTAGAGATTTTAAAAAAATCTAGAACAAGTAACATCAATAATTAGTCCTACCTCTCTCGGGTTGGGAAACCCATTGGCAGTGATAATCTTCCTGTAATATTGAACTGACGCCTTTGGGTAGCGCGGCTTATTTCTGTTGTTAAATTCCACGTAATAGAATCCGTATCTATCTGAGTATCCTTTCTCCCATT